ATCTATGAAGAGTATTTGATTCTACCATATCTGGGTCTTGAGAAGAAGATTTTTGAAATTTCAGTCAATTCGACCCTTTTTGGCCCCGCCCCTCAGGCCCCTGGGGGCGTAGGACTAAACCGGCAACTACTTTTGTTGACCTTTGTCCATGGAAGGTCCCTACAAAATTTCATTGCAATTGGTTCAGGGGTTTTGGAGAAGACGATTTTTGAAATTTTAGTCAATTTGACCCCTTTTGGCGGCGCCCCTCAGGCCCCTGGGGGCTTAGGACTAAACCGGCAACTATTTTTGTTGACCTTTATCCATGGAAAGTCCCTGCAAAATTTCATTGAAATTGGTTCAGGGGTTTTGGAGAAGAAGTTGAAAATGTAAATTGTTTACGGACGCACGACGGACGCACGACGGACGACGACGGACAAAAGGCGATCGCAATAGGTCACTTGAGACTTTGTCTCAGGTGACCTAAAAATCCTCATATTTCTATAAAAAAAATAATTTTTCATTAGTTTGAAAGTTTATCATGTTAATGTCATATAATACGCTAGTGGAAAATATGAACACCCTAGACACATTATAGCATAACTTTTGCAGCATTAACACAGCTATTCATCAAGAGTCATGGCTTGACAAATTAGGGACCAGTTGCTCTGGAAATGTAGCAACACATGTACATTAAATACATACATTGTGTATAAAGTAAATACACAGCTAGTTCTACAAAACCACACCAGAAGTATTAAAATCCTCCATACTGATAATGGCTGTTCGACTTGATAGTTTTTAAAAACATTACAACAAGGTTTTGTGATATTTTAACAGAAATCATGAAAGTTGACTTACAAATATCAAATTATGCATGGAAATCTGAACAGAAAATAACTTTGGAATTACTAGAAATAAGAAGGGATCTCACACCCAGCTCAGTAAATATGATCTTATAAGTCTGGAGTAACATTCATCAGACTATGAAGTTAACATCCTATGCTTTGAACTACAAGTTTACTATAATTTCAAGTAAGTGTCCAATAAAAATAGCTCAACCTCTAGCAGTAATTCTGTCTTCCATGTCTAGCAGTTAATAAAGTTCAATCTCTAGCAGTCATCCTCTGTCTCCTATGCCTAGCACTAATTCTGTCTGCTATGTCTAGCACTAATTCTGTCTGCTATGTCTAGCACTAATTCTGTCTGCTATGTCTAGCACTAATTCTGTCTGCTATGTCTAGCACTA